GTGTTTACTTCTATACATTGAGTTGAGTTTGGGGCCAATACAGAGGCCAAACCAACTTGGCTATAATATCTACGATTCCTTCAAGTATATATTTTTTCATTTTGTCAAAAATCTCAAATGGGTGATTCCCTGTTATCTGTAAATAAAATGTGGTAGTTATTGTACTCACTAAAACACGGTGGATTTTTTCCATTTCATTATATAAACTACTTAGTTTAGATAGTTTAGATAGTTTATATATAATATCCATTTTCAGTTAAATAGATTGCCATTTGTAGGAAAGAATATGCTAATCTGTTTCTACTATATAATTATGCAACTAACGGCAAACGATTTTCGCCATTAGAATGAAGGGCTTATTGTCATTCCTAAAACAAGAAGCGTTGAGGCATATCAAAAAGTTATTTAAAATTAAATTATGAAACTAAGCCTGATTAACCATTAGATTTCCATCTGAAGCAGTTTGCTTGTCATCTATATCAGACTTCGGATTGAATCGACCCTGGTCGGAGCTTGACTGTGCGGATTTGCTTTGATGTTGAAGCCATTGTGAGGGTTGATTTTTGTTCAGCGGTGAAACTGAATTCTGTGGTTGCTTCGAGAGTAATGTTTGCACGACTCGTGGAAGAGCCAATTCATCCCAGGAACAGTCTGCTTCATCGGAGGAGTCCGCGCAGTCCGGTGTACCATCGCAGCGCTGCTCGGCCAAGAGGCAACGTGAACTGACAAGACGACGCTGGTGCCTCTGTAGTCGGTGCCGGTCTTCCTCGGGCCGGCCTAGGCCTAAAGAGAACGGGGTATTGGGCCGGAGACATGAAAACACTCGGACGTCATGGTTATCATCTCCTACGTTTGACGAGTGGCTGGTAGAGAGACGTTCTGAGATGCGGACTCGAGCTGCCGTTGATGACGAAGCATGAACTGGCGTGGAACAGCAGGACTCGTCAGAGTCGCAGTCAGCATTACCATCGCAGACACGATTGAGATCGAGGCAACGACCATCATCGCATTGGTACTCAGGGCATGCACAATTCCGTTCGTCAATCCCGCCCTAGTGCCGGTGGTATGTATATGAGAAACCCAAAATAGTGTGATTAATCATTAGGAGTTTGCTCAACTTGATTTAAGTCTAGCGAAATAATCGAATAATAATCAAACTAGTATGTCTAACAATTTTTTATGGTAACTTTCATATAGAAGCTCTAAAGGATAAATGTTTGCCTCTTGTTAAAAACGCTTGGCCTAACTGCTCTTTAAGAGTAAAATAAGAACAAAATTGAATTGTAAATGGATGTTGGAGCAAAACAACAGTCATACGAATCCGATTCTATTCATAACATTTTATGTCGAATTTTTTCCAAGAAATTATTGGCAAAAACATTTTCAATCCTACAGGAAAAATATGGAAAACCTTAAACATTTTTCAGTAGGGTAACCCTTGGATGCTTATTTAGGAAGAGAATAAAATATAAAGGTATTTTATTTTCTCAATGAAAGCCAGCCTCAACAATTACCTGGTAGCATATTTGTCTTGTTATTCAAGCTGAACTTATTTGAAAACTTTAAACCCAACTTGGCTTTAAATACTATACATTTTCTAATCCTTATTTTAGTTCTTCTTGAATGCCGCCTCCCCTTTTACACTTTCACCAGGCCGTGGTGGTAAAACGCTTTGAGGGTCCGGCCTGTGGAATCGACACCTCAATCTATTCTAACCCACTCCATGTTGACTCTCCGATACTATTCATAGGTTGGCCTCTTCATGTCAAAATCTAAACTCTATAAAATTATCATTTTTAGGCGAAAACTGTCTGTTTGTCGAAAAATACCTGAAAATCCTTATTTGAATATTTTACTAAATAAGATTTTGGAAATCCCAGTGAATAAAGCACTCCAAACAAAGAGAAGACTAATCGGTTGGTCGAAAGGATTGGAACTGCGATCCCTAAATTAAAAAGTGACTCTAGGGATTGCGCGTATTCAATTAGAGGACAGACATTCACCAAACTCATTCTGATGAAGATTGGAACTTATCTTATTGGGCGGTGCAATAAAAT